TTACAATGGGGAGGCACGGTTTTAAGCGCTCGTGGCTACAGTGCCACCGTAAGATAAAAAGCTTAAATGACTTTTAAAAATATTGTGGAAAGCAAAACACTGGATAATTTTATTCACATCTGCATCCATTGTATTTCGTGCTGTTTTACTTCCTTTTCCGGGTCAGAACATCTACATTTGGTAGTTTCAGCAGTGTATAGTGTAAATGCAAAAATCGGATATGGGTCACTTTTAAAAGATGATGTAAGCGGGTCGTCAAAAAAATCAGATATAGTCAGAAAATCGGATTTGGGCATCAAGACCCCATGTCTGTTATTTGGTCCTAGAGTCCTGACTGAGCCCAAAGTCTGCAACCAAAGCCCAGATTAGGGACCAGACAAGGCTGACCAGTCGACACACAACTGCACAACACGCATATAAACACACACACCTGCATTTATAAAATACAAAAGAATGAGACAGAACACAAAAACTAATAGCTATTGGGAGTATGAGGATGGAAAACCTATTTTCCAGAACTCTGCCTTGTCACACAACATTACTTATGTAACTGCCCTGGCCTAGATTTGCAGCACGCATGGTCTCCAACACTGGAGGGCATAAAATTAGCCCAGTGACTTTCAACCATAACAACCCTCTCAATGCCTAGTCTGAGAAAAGAACACATCCTTGTATTGCCGTTTCCTCAGATCACGTGAAAACAGACGTGAGAATAGAAGGTTCTGTCTTTTAAAATAAAGTGTAGATTATGAAATAATAAGAAATAATGTGGTACGATTTTTTTATGTTTTCGAAAGAAGTCTCATACTCAAAAAGGCTGTATTATTTGATCAAAAATACAGTAAAAACAATAATATTGTAAAATTTTATTACAATTTTAAATAGTTGTTTTCTATTTTAATTTATTAAAAATGTAATTTATTCCTGTGTTGGCAAAGCAGAATTTCAGCATCATTACTTCAGTCTTTAGTGTCACATGATCCTTCAGAAATCATCCTAATATGCTGATTTTGTGCTGATTATCAATGATGAAAACAGATGTGCTGCTTTTTTCAGGATAATTTCTTAAAAGTTCAAAAGAGCTGCCTTAATTTGAATAGTAAAGACATTTATAATGTTATAAAAGATTTCGTGTCACTTTTGGTCAATTTCTTACTGATCCCAAACGTTTGAATGGTAGTATTAATGTAATTGACCTTCAGCTATACACTGCAAATAATATGATTTATAGAATATTTAAATATATTTAAGCGCTAGAAGACACGATAGAGTTAGATAGCTAGAACTCAATTTGGTTCTCCAGCGCTGTGTAAGAAGTTTTGTGTGCGCAACACATCCAAAGAACATGCAGCATGCAAATACTGTATTGAGTTCTCTTTCTCGTCTTCTTGCGCTTGAATGGAAAAATTCACACAGAATTATGTTAAAAAGGTTGTCTTAAGTGAATGTAAACAGTTGAGAAATAAATGTGTAAATATAGATAAAGATTAATCTATATTTCTTTTATAGTGAAGACTATGCAGTGTTATTTTACATTTGATTACTTTCTTAAATTTCTGTCCCTGAAAATCCTGAAAAGGACTGTTTATTTCAATTGTATGTTTGTTCTATTGATGTGCTATTGCTAGTTTTTCTTATTTTATTACTGACTGTCTTTTGTAATATTTGAGATATAATTATATTATAATATATATTATATTAGTTAGGCCAGTAGTTTTTTGCTGTGGTCAAGTAACCTTTTTTATATAGCGATTTAAATCATACAGATTGTTGCAAAGCCGTTTTACAGTGATAACAGGAAAATTATGCATTACGGCTGTTGTTCGGGGGAAGTCAGTTCAGTGTTGATTCAAATAGTAAATTAGTTAATTTAATCTATAAAGCAGTTCTGCAAAAAATGATGTCATTGTCCAGCTCAGTTCAGTCCTCATACAACAGCATCAGTACAATCAGATCAATAATATTGTTGAATTTTAAGTGTCCCCAACTAAGAGGCAACAGTGGCAAGGAACCCAAACTCCATAAGGTGACAGAATGGAGAAAGAAACCTTGGGAGAAACCAGGCTCAGTTGGGCGGCCAGTTCTCCTCTGGCCAACGAATGTCATTGTAACGTCATTATGTCGTTATGATTCAAGATGGTGTCATTTATGAATCAAAATTGGTGTGTGGTATCAAAATTGAAATTGAGAATTGTGAAATTTCACTGGTATCTGAAATTTGGTGTTATAACCTTATTGATTAAGGTTGCATGGGTTAAACACAATGAAAACAATAACTTTAACAATGATTTTTTATTGTGGTAGGGCCAAGTAGAATCAGGCCAGTAGAAAAAATCCTTAACGTTGAGCCCCAAGGTATCATTAACTCAATCAGTTACATTACTTTTACCTGTCAATGTGTTTTACTGAGTTACTGCTAATTTTGTAGTGCATAACATCAAGCACATTTATGACATGATGCACTGACATGAAACAACACGCAACACGTCCCTCTTGAGGATGTAATGAGTAGTGTACACAATAGCAGTGAAGACAAAGAATCCTAACTGCAGTTAACTTACACGATTATTTTTAAAGGCAATTTAGAGCAGATCACACATTGTGACCTGCGATCTCTTCTCTTGCATTAAAGTATCTAAACTTGGAGCTCAACAGGTGATTTAATCACAGGTGCTTCATCTTTTAATCTGCTGAATTAGCTCTCATTAACATTCAGTCAGATCACACTGGCCCTCATTTATCAAAAGTGCGTACACCAAATTTCCAGCGTACACCTGGCGTACACCCAAAACCATGGTGACTTTGAAATTTATCAATATGGACGTTGGCGTATGGCACGCTCAAATCCTACGCCAGCTCAGGAGGTGGTGTACATGTACGCACGTTTTGAGTTAGTGCGGAAATGCGCAGAAAAACAATTCCTAACACCATAAAATGCACTGACAAACTAAAAGATATGATATATTATGACCCACTGTAAAACAAAAAAACAAAAACATAGTAATTATTTACTTCAGTGTTTATTTTTGTGCAACATGGACTTCAATGTTTAATTTGTGTGACTTTACCAAAGCATTTGATTTATAAGCATATGTATTCCTTCAGTTGCGAGCCTGTGCGCTTTACCCTGACGTTTCATGGTTAGGCCTATCCCCGGCAGGTGCGCACGGACTGGGTTCGGTAACGAAAGGCTTTCAATGACCAACAAATAATTCAGACTGACAAAATAATAAAAAATACATTCTTCTTCTTTTAAATAATAATAATAATACAAATAATAATAATGACATTCTTCTTCTAAATAACAATAAGCGTCATTAATAATACAAATCATACTAATAATAAGAAGCATATTACAAATTGTCATGCAATTATTAATGTGAATGAATGGTAGGCCTACTCCACATCACATCATCATCATCACTATTGTACACCCCAATACATGTAACGTGATTCGAAATTGAATGCTAATTCAGAAGACGTGCTGTAAAATATTGCATTGTGATAGGTCATTTCGGCTCCACGTCAGAGAAGTTTCTCTTCTTTGCCGTCTTCCGTGTGTCCATGGCGTAAAATGAGGGCGTGGGGGAAGCGGAGACTTGGGCGTGTTATTCTAATGACGATCGTTTTCAGCCGTGGGATTTATCAAGGGCAGGTATTGCGTACACCTGGATTTCAAAGGTACGCACAGCTTCATAAATCAGGCGGTGAGAGGAGTGTAAGCATAATCTTACGCCAACATATACGCCCGTTTCTATGCAAGAATGATAAATGAGGGCCACTGTATCCATTCAGTAGGTGAGCAGAGCTGAATGACAGGCTCTGAGGACAGACTGTGATTGAGAGTAAAGCATCTGCTGGTCTGCGACTTGGCCTACTTTCCTCGTGAATTACTGTTATAGTACTGGATCGATCTGCATACATGGCCATGTGGTCAGATTACCTAATGTGTGGGTATTTACTAGTTTAAAATAGAAACACATAGGCATATCTGACCGTTCACATCCGACTGCAACAAAATTCTGAAATCCTTTACGTGAAAGCAGCAGGTGCCTGACTCAAAAGGAGTGTTTCCTAATTTTAACCATTGTGTAAATCACTGGTTTTGCTTCAGAACCCCAAATTTCCATTAGACATCAAGTGGTCAACCAACATAATACTAAAATTGTTTATGGTACAAACATAAAACAACTGTTCTTAAAATCAATTAAATAAAAATTTGTAACATTGCCAAGAACTGGACAGACCCAGCAATATGCAATATGATGTCTACAACATATATCCAATTTTTGGGTCATCACCCAACAGTTAAAAAAAATGGAGGAAATCTGAGGTCATAAGAGAATATAAAATTTCTGTTTCTATAAAAATGCAGTTGCATCAACTGATAATATGGCTCCACCTGTATGATCACAGCAGGCAGAATGTGCCAGTAAAATTATGCAAATTGTAGTGATTTTACAACAAGGTGATCAAATATTTTGTTTAACCTTTTTTTAACATGTAACGTTGTGACTTTGCCCTGTCGTATTTTACAGTTGGAATAAACAGCAACAGTATAAACAAAAGACTGCTTATGTGGTCATCAAATTGTCTTAACTCATATTGTGTGTGAATGTATCAGAAGAAAAACCTTTCACTTTAGCAACTAGCTTCCTTGCAGTTGTTAAATATGTCAAGGCTACTCTACTTTTCAAGTTGCATATCACATCACACACTATGCAGTAAAAAAATAAGACCTAGATAGGTCTAGTATTTGTAGTAAATTGCAAACACATTTGAGCATGTTTGAAATGTTTTTTGTCCTATAAAATGTATAAAAAGTCACTCCATATGATATCAATGGCTGATTGTTCATCAGTTAATTATCAGCAATTATCACTTATCAAAAATTTAAGGTACAGATTCTTAGTGTCTTTTACTCTTTTTTGGATACTGATAATTGAGATATTTGCTTGATTATAAGATGAAAAGATGCTTTCTTATAGAAATGCACTAACCTCCACCTGTTGACCCCAAGATTGGACGACCCAGCGAACCAGGGATCCAGGAAGTAGACACATCGAACAGTGTCTGCCCCACGCACTGCCTCCTGAAGTGCAGGGTTGTCATGGAGACGGAGTCCCTTCCGGAACCAGTGGATGGAATTTGGGGCCATGTTCACTGAGTCGCTGTTCCGAAAAAGAAAGAAAAAAATGAAATCAGGACAGGTTCATTCATTCTAGAGGCTGTTGATTAATTGGAAAGGATGTCATTTGCAGATTTTTCATATAATCTCAAGCAAAATAACAATAAAATGAATAGCCTTAAAGTAACACCAGGGAACTTTTGCTCTCGGGGTGGGGTCCCCCTACAGTTGGGAAACAGTATTGTCCTCTAGACCTCTACTACTGTCGTAAACTCTGTCATCCTACATGCACGTGCAATTGTTGACAACCATGATAGCCCTGAACACTGTAGGAGGAGGTCACATGCAGGTGTTCTGCTTGCGTCTTGTCTGAAATGTCTTCATCCCAGGTACAGTGGCATATATTTCAGCATGTCATATGAATATAATTTCATGGGTTTTATTTTTTTTTCTAACGACAAATGATCACGATGATCACGTTTACAAGCCAGCGTCATTATAGTAGCCTAGTCTATTGGTTACTGTTTTACTGAATCTATATGATACTTCAATGCAATGTTTGAGTGGTCGATAATAACCATATATCGTCAATATTATAATATCAAGCTACCATAAATGAATCTGTAAATTTTACAAATCGATTTGCATTATAGCTTGAGGCAAGACAAATAAACAAATATCACAGACATGTTAGGTATCCTAAAATATGATTTTGTACATCTTATATATTTACTTGCAAGAATGTAGCCCCTACCAAACTTGTGCATGCCGTTTAGACACAGGCTTTCATTTGATTTTTTTTTTTTTTTTTGCCAAGTCCGCATCGGTCGGGCACCCTTCCTCCTCCTTCAGCTCACGCCAGCGAGAAAATGCTGGCCCAATGTTGATCCTCGTTCTGCCTTTAACGCGATCACTTTCTCTTTTTCTCTTTTTGCTTTACTCCGATAAAACCTTTGCTTTCTTGTTTTTCTGTGCTGCTTCGGCCATGACTATAACATTTGGCTCGCACGTCCGATTTTAAGGAAGTGGGGGTGGTGGTGGAAGTGACGTATATGCCGTAAAGCAGTCGAATTTTGTAGTTCTCTTTGTTCGCCGGTTACTACCCGAAACCCGAAGTTTAAAAGTACGATTAAAAACGCTACAGACCCCGTCAGGCTATGGCAGACGTGTCATTCAACCTATTGTAAGTCGATGTACCATCACAAGAGACTTGGAAATATATTATGAAGGTTGAAAAGTAACCTAGCGCTGCTTTAAAACATATTTATTAAACTCTTTTGAAAATCACACCATCATTGAACAGTGTGAAAAGAGAAAATACAAGACATTTCTGTCATGTAAACGTATAAAATAAAATAAATAATTTTATTTGGGACCCTACAATCCCAATTTTATCCTTTTTCAACATCTTATTGTTGGCGCATCTTACTATTGGTATCATAATTAGAAACAGCATTTTGTGAGATCCAGAGACAAGAAAAATGTTGTAAAAGACTGAAATTGAGGAAATCTCCAAAACATCACCCTATAACAGAATTGGCGTGCCCACCTGTTCTGCTGTTTTGCGCAATCTCATGTACAGATGTATGTGTAGGTTATTAGATTCTGCAAACAGCATAATTTCAACATTGACGAATCTGGCCCTAAGTTCAGTCAGGTTCTCCTCTCGTATGTGGAACCATTGGCGTATATATGTAAACATTGTGTTTTGTATTTTTTTTTTTTTTTTTTTTGTAGTTGTCTGTTACTGTTTATGTTTTGTAACTGTTTGTGGTTGGACCATGTGTGTCCTTAATAAAGCTTTGATGATGATGATGATGATGATGATGATAACCTACTCTGATACCGTAAAAATTGATTGCCATTTTAAAATTTTGCTCAGAGACCATTTGGTATAGATTTGAGCCTTTATTTTTCTTCTTGTCCTGTTTCCGTTCATGGAAGAGGAAACCTCCAAATCTGGACATAAAATCTGTCCATCTGAGCAGTCATTCTGTGACACTCAATTCTTGGCTTTGCCTCAGTCTGTGTCACGTCAAGATGCGTGACGTCTGCTCTGGACTGAATATTATTCATACAGTATATGTCAATGCCATACTGCCTCTCATTAATGATGTGACATTTATAGAAGCCTGCCTGACAATCATGGACATCTTTGAACCCTGCTTCAAATCTGTCATACACTATACTTTAATAGCTAATTATACAGGACATGGTTTACATTTGTATAATACAGGACCACTTAATTTCCATGTAATAGCAGTTTATCACATGTTATCACAAAAAGAGCATAATATATACCAGCTACTATTACATCTTTGTTTAAGGCAAGATATACTACAGGCAAAACCATTGGTTTTTTTCAAGCACTGGTCAATTTTGAGATTTTGGGATATTTTGCTATGTTCCATAACACTTCTTTCAGACTAGTGGATAAAACACCCAAAACAAACACGTACGTGTTTCTTTTATTACACATTATCTATTTGCATCTGTAGATTTCAATTACAATACATATTTAAAAGGCTGTTTTCTCATGCACTGAGACAGAAATCTCCACTTCAGTTGCCCCAAACCTTCTATATTCTGAAAGTGTTTACAGATGTTTTTTTATTCATATATCATTTGGTTGATTTATAAAATAAAATGTTTTCCTAAAAACATCGTGATCTTTTTTTCTGGCTTTTGACGGTATTTCCTGATTTATGGAGTGATAAAAAGAGATTGAAAAGATTTTACCAAAAAGAAATTTGGTTAAAAAAAAACCTTTTTTTTTTTTTCTATTATGTCAACAAAATGGGGAAAAAAATAATTTTGAACCTGGCTTCAGCCAAAGTTCAGATTTCTGTTCTGGAAATGTAGCAAATTAGTGCATATTTAATTAATTATTATGTAGCCTACATAACAAAACATTTCAGAAAATTTGCAATATAAAACAATTGTCTTTAATGTACTTGAATTAATCAACTGGCTTAATATGGCGATATCCATCTTTCTATCTCTATTATTCACCCGTGTCTGTCTTGCCTTAATATCTATTTAAAGACATTTTACCAGGCAGCAGGCAGTCTACTGAAAATCTGACCTAAGTTACCCATTTAAGATTGTCTACCAGTAGTTTAAACTGTCTATCAGCTTTAAATGTACAACATGTGTAGGACACCTCAGGCAGAAGAAAATCTGGATATACTACCAAAAGCACCCACACCTTAACATTAAAATGATTCTGTGGGAACGAAGAAAGGTAGGTCAGAGTTTCATAATTTTATACTTATCAAATTACCATTGATGAAAAAAAGGTACTTAGTAGTACTACATAAATATATTAGGGAACTAAAATATATAATAATTTTGTTTACATAAAAAAAAAAACATTTTACAGTGGCGCGCGACAATGTTCCACGGACACACTAATAGGCTACTGGAGTAGAAATTAGGTCAATTCTTCTAAGTAATTTAGGTGAAACTGCGCGGACAATGTAGTTAAAAGAGTTATGCAAGTTATACATTTCGGGTTCCCCACAATGTTCCCTAAATACGAGATATTCCGAGAAAAACGTATACAAATATAAGAAATACATATGGAAAAACTTCAATAGGAAAACAAACATGGGAAATTAGGTCACCGGCCCACGTTATGTAACGCGTTTTTTACAAGCCAATAAAGCCTAATGAAATAAATACGCGGCTCGAAAGCTTTACCTTTGACCGTTATGTCAGTCCCGAAGACAGGGCCATCTCTTCTCACGACATAGCGAGAGTCTCACAGCTAAAAAAAAATATGCTTTTTCACCGATTCAGTCTGGCTCACAGACGGTCAAGCTGCCTTCATACGACGCTCGTGCACTGCGCCTGCTCTGTTTGGCTCTGTTGCTGTTCTTCTTGCCTGGATCAATGTGGATTCCCTGTGTGTTTCCTAGTGAGCGCAATGGCGCTTCTGATTGGTCAAAACAAGGTCACGGGGTGCCCGGACTCTACTGATGGTGGGGATTAATTGAACTGTTTACTGAATAGATTATGGGGCGGTTTACCGGACAGGGTTTAAATTAAAACAGGAGTAGGCTTTAATCTAGATAGAATATTTAATCATGTTTTAAAAAATGGCTTTCTGAAACACAGATTAAGAACAGATTACTAACACATGGACTATGAAATTAAAATAAACAAGATTAATTTAAAACCAACTGTGCTAATCTGAATTAGCATGACCAAGGTGGCCTATAAACCATGGAACGAACCAAGAAAATGTTACAATTGTATGGAACTGAGAAGCAAATCCAAGAAAAACAATGACATCAGAAAAAAGAGTGCAATCAAAAAAAACAATTACTGAACAAGAGAAAAGGTACTCGGTTACTAACGTAACCTCGGTACTCTCTAGAAGAGGGAACGAGTACTGCGTAATATCTTACGCTAGGAGAAAACCTGTTTTCCACGAGATATTGAAGCCAAAAACGATCCTTAATTTTGAATTAATGTAAAACGCGTTGCGGCAGCATGCAGACATGCAAGGCGGCTCACGTGCCTATTGGCTGTCCTGCGGCAACTGCAGCAGCCTATCGAGAGAGGCCCTTTGGTGACAGTCCAATGGGGGCGCTTCGCGCCCACTGCGTCACCTTCCCGCAGAAGCGGGCGTGGCCTAGCCCTATAAAGGGGGTCGCACACCAGACGAGAAGCGCAGAGCCGCATCGCTTCTAGGACAACTCGAGGTATCGCACACCGGACGCGCACTTTCTCAGATTATGGCCAGCAATATTGTTATGTTTAAAGACATTATGGAATTAAGATAATGTCTGTGCTATGTTATGATTGTACTGAACAGTTTAATACAATCGTTGCTATGTCTTCAGTCTGAACACACTTTACCTCAGAGCGTTCGTAATGAGAATATCACCTAAAAATCCGCGAACATAAGCAATTTTAATTCTAGCTGCTGATTTCTGTAAATGAATGTAAAACTAAATGTATAATGCAGCACAGGGTGAAGTCAGTATGTACATTAACGACGATTTGAGACAAATAAATGTAAATTTAATATACAACTATGTAAATGGCGCTCTGTGGCGCGGCAAGGTTTTGAACAAGGTCCTGAGCCGTAGCTGGGCGCCGCGGACAGACGCCGAATGGCGCCGCCGGTGTGTGTAAACTCATAGAGAATAATGTGTTCAAATTTGACATGGTGCTGCGCGACGCGGCGCTGCGCTTCTCGTTCGGTGTGCGACCCCCTTAAATATAGCTCGATGGGCTGATATAACTGGTTTTTCATCGCCGAAGCGAACCAGAGCGTGTTGCAGGCACGGCAAGATACGCAGTACTCGTTCCCTCTTCTAGAGAGAACCGAGGTTACGTTAGTAACCGAGTACGTTCTCTTACGAGAGGTTCTCTCGTACTGCGTAATATCTTACGCTAGGGGAACACAATGTAAAACGCCGTGCGTGCTGGGATCCAACACCAAAGTCCCAAGGGCAGGTGCCCGGGGCTCATATAGTGCACAATCACCATGGACTCACAGAGAGTCTGAGAAGAGAGGCTAGCAGCGTCATTCCTAATAAGTTAGCATCCCAAAGGAGCTAATCACTGTCACAGTGTTACACACAGTCAGGGTGGAAACCTTTCGGCCTGAACTGTGTAACAGTATGGGTCTTACTTTTGCCCATGGGGAAATTTTATCGGTCAGCGTGCGGTGCTCAAGCGATTGTAGTATTCTGTGCCGAAGCAGTGGGGCAGACAATACTCGATTTTATACCGACAGTAGTTTAGCCTGTAAGGCGGGAACCTCTAGGTTATAAAACCTTATAAATGTAGACGGGGAGGCCCAGCCTGCCGCCATACAGATATCCTGTAAGGTAATCCCGCTAGACCAAGCCCACGACGAGGCCATGCCTCTTGTGGAGTGCGCTCTAACAACTAAAGGGCACTTAAGGCCCTTTGACTTGTATACCAGTGCTATGGCGTCAACTATCCATCTGGATAGGCTCTGTTTCGACGCGGCTAGTCCCTCAGCACGACCGCTGAACGGAACGAAACGAAAAGCTGCTCAGTCTGTCTGAAAACGGACAAGCGGGACAAATAAGCTCTTAATGCCCTGTCTGGGCAAAGGAAACTCGCGTCCATCTCCTCGATATAAACGGTGTGTTGAGGGATTTAGGCACATATCCGTGTCTTGGTTTGAGTATGACTTTCGAGTCATTTGGGCCAAATTCCAAACACGTCGCGCTCACCGAGAGCGCTTGCAAATCCCCTATGCGCTTTACTGAAGCGAGAGCCATAAGAAACACTGTCTTGAACGACAGATGAATTGGCTCAAACGGGGCACCTTTCATGGCTTCCAGAACCGTGGAAAGGTCCCACATGGGGATTGAGGGGGGTCTGGGAGGATTCAGCCTCTTAGCTCCTTTTAGGAAGCGGATGACCAGATCATTTTTCCCCAGTGACTGGCCAGTCACGGGTTTTGTAAACGCAGCTATGGCCGCCACATAAACTTTGAGCGTGGATGGGGTTCTGCCCTTATCCAGCAGCTCTTGAAGGAAGGAGAGCACTTCCGTAACCCCGCAGTCTAGGGGTGAAAAGCCTCAGGCTTTGCACCAGCCAGCAAACACCGACAATTTTGAGGCATAGAGTCGTCTAGTAGACGGCGCTCTGACTCCATAGGAGGAGATGGTGGGCGAGTTGCGACATGCGGCGGGAGCGTAGACCACCTTGGCGGTTGATGTACGCAACGGTCGCAGTGTTGTCCGTACGGACCAGAACGTGCTTGCCACGTAGCGGCCCTTTGAGGCGGCCCAGTGCAAGGCGTACTGTAAGCAACTCGAGGCAATTGATTTGCCAATGCAGTTGAGGCCCCGTCCACAGACCTGAAACTGCATGCCCGTTGTACGTGGCCCCCCAGCCGGTGGCAGAGGCATCTGTGAAGACCACAGCATGCCTGGACACTTGTTCTAGGGGAACGCCTGCCTGTAGAAACGAAGGGTCCGACCACGGGCTGAAGGTTTGGAGGCAGTGCGGGGTGACGTGCACCAGGTACGTGCCACTCTGCCACGCCCATCTCGGGACTCGGCCGTTAAGCCAGTGCTGAAGCGGTCTCATATGAAGCAATCCGAGCGGCGTTACTGCGGCTGCGGATGCCATATGCCCCAGGAGCCTCTGAAAAAGTGTCAGTGGGACTGCTGTCCTGCTCTTGATTGTACTCAAGCAGTTCAACACTGACCGGACACGCTCCTCAGTGAGTCGCGCTGTCTGGTTGAACGAGTCCAACTCCATACCGAGATAAGAGATCCTCTGCACAGGGGAGAGTTTGCTCTTGTCCCAGTTGACCCGAAGGCCCAACAGGCTGAGGTGACGGAGCATCATGTCCCTGTGTTCGCACAACTGATCCCGAGACTGAGCCAGAATCAGCCAGTCGTCGAGATAGTTGAGAATACGAACGCCGCGTTCTCAGAGTGGAACAATTGCTGCCTCCGCGACTTTCGTGAAGACACGGGGCGACAGGGACAGCCCGAAGGGCAGGACTTTGTACTAATATGCCCGTCCCTCGAACGCAAACCGCAGGAACGGTCTGTGTCGAGGAAGAATCGAGACAAGAAAGTCCTTCAGGTCTATCGCTGCAAACCAATCTTGGGGACGGATGCACTCGAAAATGCGTTTCTGCGTGAGCATCTTGAACGGGAGCTTGTGCAGGGCCCGATTCAAGGTTCGCAGGTCCAAGATTGGCCGTAACCCACCGCCTTTCTTGGGTACAATGAAGTAGGGGCTGTAGAACCCTGTCCTCATATCGGCTGGAGGAACCGGCTCGATCGCGTCCTTCGCCAGTAGGACATCGATCTCTGCCCGCAAGACAGGGGCATCGGAACTCCGCACAGAGGTGAAGTGGATGCCCCTGAACTTGGGAGGGCGCCGGGCGAACTGAATCGCATAGCCGAGCCTGATGGTATGGATGAGCCAGCGAGACGGGCTGGGAAGCGCTAGCCAGGCTCCCAGACACCGCGCAAGCGGGACCAACGGGACCACAGACGTACCCGGGGAGGGGCAGCGAGGTGGAACACAGGGACTCGGCTCGGGAGGCACTGAGGCGGCCCGAAACGGAGTCTGAGTTTGTTGTAGCACACTTACCTGGTTCCAGGGTGGGGCAGAGGGTGCGTGGGAAGGCTTGGTGGCGTCCCTGAACCGCACACTGCTGCCCGCTGGCGATGGAAGAGGGGGAAAGGAGTGGCAAGGCATTGAAGCGTCGCTCACTGCAATCCGCGCCCTCTTGTGACCCAGAGATGGAAGAAATTGCTCTTTTATTGAAAATGTGGGTACCGCTGGACTCCGGGGAGCGGAACAGAAACAAAATGAAACAAAAGATTCTCCACCCGGTCCTCCTCCGGGGGAGACTATCTCCCGAAGAGCAGCTTCCTCCATCGCTGGGTCGCCCGTCTCAGGGCTGCTTGCGCCGCGATGGTCATGTTCCCGCAATGAGAACATGAGTCATCCATGAGCGCCATTTCAGCGTGCCTATAGCCCAAACACGTGAGACAGCGATCATGCCCGTCAGCCGGAGTCAAACATTGGCCGCATCCAGAAACACACGATCTGAATGACATCTTGAAAAAGACGCAGACAGATTGTCTTAGTTCTTTCAGATGTGCTCTGAGGTGGTGAAACGCACAGGGAGATAGCCGCGGCTACACACCAGGAAAGCAACCTAGTGTGAGCACTCACTCTTAATTGTCACGCCCACCGAACCGACAAAGCTGTGAAAACAGCTGTTTGTGCTCTTATGAGAAGACGGACGCAGAGAGATCGCGACCCTCGCTGTCAGCGCCGTCACACCAACACCACGAACCAGAGATTCTTCTCGCCAGAGACTCGAAGACACTCAGTAGATCTTTGCAG